CTGCCCTGGGGCAGACTGACAGAAGCGAGGCTGCCATATCGCGCCATCGGCCCCTCTGGCCATCACCAGTAGGCGGTAGGGTAAAGTGTCTTGCCCAAGGACACAACGACCAGGACAGAGAGCCCGGGGATCGAACCGGCAACCTTCCTGTTACCTTCATAACCATTACAGATGAGCTTCCCAACCGACCGTGGCTCAGGGGGTGACTGTGATTGTGATCGGCATTGTACCGATTGCCCAAGTACAAGGTCAGAACAAAGAGATGAAGTCCATGAGTCCTCTCTATCCTTCTTTCTTTTCTCCCCTGTACCAAATGCTAAATTTTGCAATTTTCTATGGAGACTCTCAAAGGTAATCCCACTTTGGCTATAACTGAGACTCCAGTGAGCTTGTTAATAATCGTTTTTGACAATTTTTCAGAACCATGGAGAGCAAATCTAAAATTTGAATCCCCAAAACGAATGCCTTATTAATGCCTTAGCAAGCTCAAAATAAGGGAAATATGTTATACGGCTAAGGTCCTTCAAGAAGCAGGTCATGCAAGATGGGAGCCATTTTGGTTTCACTATTTGGCAGTCATTTTGAAGGTCCTAACTAAACGAAAGGGGAGAGAGCTTCCAACAGACCTATGGCGACATCAAAACTGCAAGTAAAGGATTACATGTTAAATTTAATCAAAAACTAAACTTAGAAAGATTTTTTCCCCCAAACACAAATTTAATACAATTCATACGTTTACTCTGCATGTGCACAGATTCACAACATGATGACTTCAGTAATGGCTCAGTCCAGAGTGCCACGATGAGCAGTATCTCTGCTCTTCCCACTGGAGCATGGACAATTGCAATGCAGTCAGTATGTAAGCCAAGAAAAAGCACTAAAGCACTCTTGCATCTACACTGCAAAAATGAATGGAGAGACATGCGTGGCACAACACTGCAGAAAATATACCAAACCTTTTTCTTGCGCTAATACAATGAAGCCAACGCCGAAGTGCAAAGTTAAACTGCAGTTTCTCAAAAGGCCGCTTACGGCTGAGCCTCTTTTCTGCTATTTTTGCGCTCGTAATGCCTTTCAGAGCATTTTTAATGGACTATTTGACAAAGACCATGACTTACTGTGTGCTACAGACTGCCAAAGAATTTTGTGCTTCAGTTATGATGAGTTAAATTCTATTATCTAAATTGTTTAATGCCTAGCACTCGCTAGCACTACATGACAACTTAGTGCACCTTCTCAACCATACAGTGTATGTGTCACATTGGATTAGGCAGGATTCAGAGCTATGCAATCAAAGGGGCATTTATTTACAACACCACGTGAGTTATGTATATATATATACAGTGATCAAGGGATGAGGGCTCCAGGGGTTCCAAAAAAGGGGTCCAGGGCAGGGGATAACACGCTCACACTCCTCTTTGTACTGGAGTGACACAAACACACTCAATCCGATCCCATGCAGTGACTCACTCTCACTCACGCTCATCCAGGTCAGGTCCAAGGGAAACAGGCAAGGACCCAGGTAGATCTGTACAGGGAGATGGAGACAGCTGTTAGGAGAGAAACAGGAAACACAAAGAAATTTGCTACACTAACAGAGGTAAGTATAACAATCCAGCGAGGAACAGTCCTCCACCAGGGTCCTAAGTACTGGCTGGAACAATCAGAGGAGATTAGCAGCAGGTGAGAGTAGCGTGGATGTGGAGATCAGTCGGAGACCAGCTGCCACCTTGGTGCGAGGAGTGAAGACAGCACACTGGGGCAAAAATGGAGGACCATGACAATATGGTCCCAACTAAGTGTAAAAGATATTATTTGCACCCAAAGAAGAGTTTTGGAATGTCCTTTAAGAAGCCTGGAGAACTATTCATGAAGACTGTCCATCCATCCATCCATTCGCTTCCGCTTATCCTTTTCAGGGTTGCGGGGGGCGCTGGAGCCTATCCCAGCTGTCATAGGGCGAGAGGCGGGGTACACCCTGGACAGGTCGCCAGTCTGTCGCAGGGCTATCGCCAGTCTGTCGCATGAAGACTGTTTTAATAAATTACAAGTGAGCTTGTCTGAGAGAGTTTAGGCGTTTAGGCTGTGTCAAGGAATAA